CGGAGCTGCCGTGGTCCCGAACGCGCCGGGCCGCCCACCCGGCCCCGGCAGCTTGAGGGAAGGAGGGAGGCGTGCGTATCTCGATTCTGAGGACGCATGAGCGCGCTGCGCATCGGGCTCCGGAAGGCGAGCGCCGGGGGTGCTCCGCGGGCGGCCGGGGCAGCTCCAGCGGCGCAGGAGCCCAGAGCCGGGCCCGCTCCCGCAGGTAACGCTGRCCCCGGGCGCGGCGCGGGGGCTGCAGAGGCGGCGGGGCGGCGCCATTTTGCAGCCCGGCGCATCGGGCGGGCGCTGCCGCTGTCTTTGGCTCTGGAGCGCGGGCCCGGTGTGACGGGAACCCCYCTGAGCCTGCCTGGCCGGCTCGGGCTGAGGCACAGGGCTCGGCGCCGTCCCTGGTGGGTGCGGGTCCGGGCTGTGTTCGCCGAGCAGCTCAGGGAGGGACATCTCGCTGCTGCCGGGTGTGCAGGAAGCCTGGTCCGGCGCGGAACCGCGCTCMATTTGCGGTCGGGCTGTGAGGAGGCGTGGGCCCGCAGGTCTCACCTCCGGCAGTCACGGTGCCCGAGCTCGGTGGGGCTCACATAAAGAAAGCCCATACCGGGAGTGCCGGTGCAGTCCCGCCGTGCTCTGCCCGTGGAGTGTCAGGCCGGCCCTCACGTTCTCCTGAGGGGCTGAGGCCAAAGCGCCGAGCCGGGCTGGGCCGGGCCGGGTCTGAGCGCTGAGCCGGCGGTTCGGAGGATGAGTACCCCCGTGGTGCCCTGCAAAGAACGATGTGCGGTTTCCTCCGTGCTTCGTTCAGCTRCCAGAGTAGCCTCTTTCTGTACGGTACCCCGTGGAACGCAGCTTCACTCAGRTTTGAACAGGAGGAGAAATCCTGTGTGACCATCAGCTATGGCCTGGTTAGCGTACAGAGGCATTTTCTGACCTAATCACTAGGGCGATGAAAAATGTTAAACTGCAGTTGCTTTCTGAAACAATTCACAGCTTTGAATGATACTGTCTGGATTACAGAAGCTTTACGTTGTCTTAAGCTGTGAACCACAATTGGTTTAGTTTGCAAGATAATGGGGTTATGCCAGATCACATTATGCTTCTGTTTAATCTGCTTTGACCCCATGGAGAGCATCAGTTCAGTTTATTTAGCACTTTCCAAATATTAACAGTCCTTTTCCTAGGTGAGAAAGGTGCTTCAAGCCTCGGTCTTGGAAGCAGTTGAGCAAGGATGTATGTGAAAAATTAATTATGGTTTAGGTAGATACTTATAAAGAGGGAAAGTGTATTTAAGCCTATTCATACTACAAGTTGGGGGACAGATTCCTGGTTTCATCTTGCAAAATATCACACACTTGGGCTGATTTTAACATCTTCGAGAGCCAGCCCTGGGTATGGAATGCCTTTCATTCTAGAGTGTTCATTCCAGTCAGCCCTGTGTAACGGATTTTTACAGAGCATGGAAAATGCCTCTAGGGGAAGCCTCCATTTTGATTGCTCTGCCTAACTCGACTAATTCCGATGCTCCTGAGTTTGCTGTCAGGTTTTAAAGATGYKAAAATGTGTGTTTTCCASATTTCTGTGGGGGCTGCTTTTTCAYTAAGAATCTGGAAGATAACTTGGCCTTTTGTGGGGTTTGGTGCTAAGTAGGAAGCACACATTGTTGCCAAGATAAAGCATACAATTAAAGTTCTCTTTTCTTAATAATTTGAGAAGATTTAAATATGTGTCAAATGAAATGGCATAGTCAAGGAACCAAAGCAGCTGAATGAATTGTCGATACATTTGTCATGACATGTGTGTGTGTGGGGGTGAAATGTTTATTTCTTCTAAGCAGTAGGTCATRAAGRGTGTTTAAATAAAGGTATAATATAKATGAWACACTGGAGTAWTATCCATGGATTAGAGTGAAACTTCAACACTCAGTTCATTTACTTAGAGAACTACATGTTTTGATGCCCAAGTRGATTAATTAATCACAGTGCTGGAAAATGTGGAATATAAAACACAGGTGACTGATGAGCTTAGTATTTCACTATGTTGTAGRGAAACTCAGGAATCTAGAAAGTGCTGGATAGGTATATGCTAATGTGCCATGCAGTACTGTGATATTTTCAGGCAGCTAGCMAAAAAAAATTGAATTGGAAGGCCGTCAAACTTGTTTCATACAATCAAAATACTGGAGACTTATCCACACACAGAAACACGAGGAGCATCCTTTATTGTATTTAGCAAAGAGTTGGAGAAGGTGTGCTTTGTGTGTGGAGAAGGAAGTTGATGTAAATATTARTCCAGTGAATTTTATAAGCATGAACAAGACTGTAAGTGCCCTGAAACAAGATTTCATCCTAGCCTGGCAATTATAAGCATAGATTCAGTTGTGGTTCCTGGCATTTTTGTGTGGGTTTTTTTTTTTTTTTCCTTTTTTATTGCTCTGGAGTAATTTGCTCTCAGTGACAAAAGAAATCTGTAACAGAAGTATCTAAAGAAATTTCTGAGCCCTATTTTTTGTAACATCCTTAGTACCGGTGACCAAGGTTGGTAGAGTGACAGTCTTGGTAGCTTTAATGAGCTGCATATAACTGTAGCATGGTCTTCATCAGAATTCTAGGGACGTGTAAATTCTTTGAGATGTGCTCTTAGGAAGCCCCAGAACATCTTGTCATGTGGCATCTTCCTGCRTGCTCTATTTCTGCATATGATATTTTTCAGTGCTTTTAAACATACTTTCTTTTCTGTGTTTTCAGACTATTATTTAGAGCTGTTAAAACTGTCTATCCTGAGAGATACTCTCTTCAGCATCAGCTTTAGCCAAGATACAATATGGTTATTATATAACCTAGGTTTTTGCATTTTGTTGCTTGCGTAGCAGAATGACTGCAGAGCTCTGCTTGATTCCRGTTAAACTGAAAACTTGAGAGGAAGAGGTACTGGGAATTTGCTGTTTTTACATGCTTGACATTTTTCTCACGTGCTTGAGCTTAGGTATTATGTTTGCTCATTTCAGGACTGCCTCTGAATCGCAGTCCAGAAAGAAGAAACAATCCTGTTGGTTAAAGTTGAACATTTGTCTGTAAGATTAAGRACAGAGCCATGCCAGTGCTTTCGGAAGACTCAGGTAACTAAATCTGCATGCTTTCAACAGACTGAAATCTTACCATATGTATTTCACACAGAAAGTTAACTCAAATTGGAGTAAAATACGATAGAATTAAGATAATTCAACTACAGTTTTTTAGTAATTWTCTACAAGAAGGAAGGTGGAGTGTAAAAGGTGAAAATTAATATTAAGTTTGTCAGGAAACAGTTTACTAAGAACCGTGGAGCACCTGAATATATTCTGATAGGCTCCTGCAGRCAAACATGGACCTCTCAGTGTAACAGTGCTTGTTAGATCAGCCCATATATGGCTGCTGCTTGCTGTGTCACTTTTTAATATTTTCTGAACAGGAGTTAGTAAACGTTGTCAATATTCTTCCTTTTAATTTAAAGTAACAGTGACTTCATTCAAGACTCCTTTACTGGCTTCTCCAGTATGCTGCCCAGGGTGAAATCATAGATATGAAATGATACTTAACATTAGAGCAGAAATGAGTTTGAGTCTTCTGGATCAAAACTTTAAGGTTCATGGAGAGAATGGCCACAAGAATAGTGGTTATTCCTCCCCCCCTTTTTTTTTTTTTCTTATTTTATTTTGGTCTTGTATTTCCAGACATGGTTTACCAGCATTTATCTGGCCCTGTGCATTGCAAAAATTTGGATATGGATGATTTAAACACTTTTTAGAAAACTAGCCACAAGCTTTAGCTCCACCACAATAGAAACTGCACCAGTCCTTTCTTCCTCTGGTCAGACCTGGCTTCTTACAGGTGCCTCAGGGGTAGAAAGGGCAGAATAAMACCTGTAAGCAAAGTTGCTGGGGAAGTAGAGCTGATACCTGTGCAACAAAGGAGATCCTTCAGTCATTTTGAGAATCTGCTGTGGCACTGAAAATTCAAAGTTTGTAAGAGGGCTAGTTGTTCTGGAAACAAATGGTAATAAACATGAAGTGGGTGACCAAAGATAATGTTTTTTAAAATATATATTGCTTTGTTAGCGTTTGCCTTAATGTGATGCTATGTTTGCCACTCACAAAGGGAGCATTGCAAAATGAGTGGTAGATAAACACAGATCTCTCTACAAACCTGCTGCTCACCAATGTGGTAGAGAAATGTAGAGACTGGTTAAATCTGCAGTGGAAGGTCCRGTGAGAAATGCTGTGTTCAATGGGTTTTTTTTTCTGTCCTGAATTTAGGGTTGCATGAAACTTTGGCCCTTTTGACRTCTCAGCTAAGACCTGACTCAAATCATAAAGAGGAAATGGGATTCCTTAGGGATGTCTTCAGTGAAAGGAGTCTCAGCTACCTGATGAAGGTAAAAGTTTACATTTATGTATGGAGGTTTTCCTTACAGTTTACTTTTTCTCTGTTCCCTTGATTTATCAATCATTTACTTTTCCAAAGGTTTTTTCTTTTAAGAATTCTGTACTGACCATAGCATATATGTGTTTAAGCACAAACATTAATAATGTTTGACAACTAGCATATTTTGTTCAGAAATAAATTTTTCTGCTCTTCTTGCTAAAATGTAGATACAGTGCCCATAGCTAAATAGTAGTGTCAAATGGCTTCATTTTTYCCCTTATGCTTCTAAAATCTTACAAGATTTTCTGACTGTCTAAAACTACCATGAGCAAAAAGAAAACTAAAATGCTCCTAAACAAAATAAAAATAATCCCAAGAGATTATTTTTCTGACATGTCTCAGATARATTATGTTCCTTAAATAGAAAAACATTCCAGTGTAGGTATATGTAGAAAGTTTTGTATCTCTCTGTAGAAATATCCCTGAATAATCTTTTTTCAGATTCATGAAAAACTCCGTCATTATGAAAGACAGAGTCCAACTCCTGTTTTACATAGTGCAGCAGGATTAGTTGAAGATGTGAGTAAAAMTTTTTGTCTCATAATTTTCCTGTTATTTAAGCCTGCTTTTCTAACAAATGAAAACTTTTGCAATTGTGTTATATGTGAATATATTTCTCATCTTCCCCTTTGTAATCTGTTGGCCAACCAAGGAAATGAGAGCTCAAAAATACCAAGCCATTAAATTTCTAGGGAAGATGGACACATTCAGTTAGAAAAAAAGGAGATTGTTAATGGCCTTCATAAGGGGGAGGCTGCAAAAAGCATTCARTCCTTTCTTGGCAATAGGCTATCCCAGCTGAGTATTAAAACCATTACAGCCCAGGCAGCATTGCTGTTGTCATAGATTGGTTTGGGTTGGAGGGACCCTGAAAGGTGATCTCGTCCAAACCAGGCAGCCCCAGGCACGCTCACCTTCCACTGGATCAGATAGTTTAAAGTCCTGTCTGATTTTGAGTATTTCCAATGGTGGGGCATCCAAAAACTCTCTGAGCAACCTTGTTCCCAGCATCCTACCATGCAGATCTTCTAACATCTCACCACCTTCATCATTAAAAAGAATTCTTCCATAYATCCAATCTAAATCTGCTCTCTTTCAGTKTAAAACTTCTGYCCTGTGTCCTRTCACTACAGGCCTTGGTAAAGACCTTTTCTCTTTCTTGTAAAACCTCCTTCATACACTGAATGACARCAGTAAGGTCTCCCCAAAGCCTCTCCTCTCCAAGCTGAGYAATCCCAATTGTCTCATCCTTTCCTCATAGAGATGTTCCAGCCCTCTGAGCATTTTTGTCATTCTCCTGTGGTCTGTGTCCTGGGGACTCTGTGCTGGACACTGTTCTCTAGGTGAGAGGTCTCAGGAGAGCAGTAGAGGGAGAGAACAGCCTCCCTTGCCCTGCTGGCCCTGCTTCTCCTTGTGCAGTCTGGGACACAGTTGTCTTTCTCGACTGCAAGCACACATTGCCATCGTGGATCTGATTTTTCATCCACCAGTATCCTTAAGTCATTCTCCACAGGGCTGCTCTCAGTCAGTTCATACTCCAGTCTGTTCACAGAGCACAGTGGTGTCTTAGATTTGTGTGTAACACGATGCCATGTGCCTGAAAACATGAAATTTGCACTGCATTTGGTGCTCTTTACATGTGCCTAGTCTCTGCCATAATGTAGGAGAGGGGGTGGAAGGTTTGGGATCTGGAATCTGTTCYTCTCAAAGTCAGGAGACCCCCATACCCCACCTTCACATGCAGCATACCCCCCCTCCCTTTTTCCCACTGTGCCACCTCCACAAAAGTTTTGGTATTGCTGCCTGTCAAGTCATACAAAATCTCCATCTTCAGAATAGCAGGGAAGCTYTTTATAGGACAATATGACTTCCCTATTTAGAACCCTTAACAGGGTAAGGAAATAAATCTCTTTTACCTTAAACCATTTTCCCTTCCTACTCCCTCCTGTGCTTTCTCTCTCCTCCCACCCAATCAGCCCAGTGCCTCCATTATTTCTCTAATTTTTTGTTAAGGAGGCCTGAGACTCCAGGGCATATTTTGATATTCAGGTTTTGCAGGGGAACCAGGAAAGTTATGTTGCATGTTCCACCCAGGTAATATTACATGATTGCAAAAAGGTTTAAAGTCTTCTGTTGAATAATACAAGCACGAGAGTGTTGTTCACCTGACATTTACATATTCCATACAGAATTTAAACTTTCAGAACTCACTCCTGAAATATTGATAGAATAACTCTTAGAATGTATGTTTAGGGATTATRATTCTGATTCCTAATGGTGTCTTTGGAATTAGCTTTTAAAAATAGCTGAAGAGGCTTTGGTTTCTTTCAGGTTTCATGCACTGTGAACTGGGATCAGTTTTGATCTGTGCACACTGTTTTGATGAATGATAGATGTTAGCAAACACTCAACAGAACTGTAAATGCATGATCSTGTTTGGTGGACTCCTTTAATTTTGAGGTTGTAAATTTTTGTTTTAAAGGTAATAGAAGAGTTGCAGACAGCACCAGTGAATAATGAAGAAAAAGAGCTACTTCAGCTGTTGTCAACACCACATCTCAGGGTAAAAAACACATTGGAGACCTTAATGAAACTCCTTTGCAGGATTGCAATAGAACATTTTGTAACAGAAGAGTTATATTGAAGCATCCCTAGGAGAAAATAAAAACCTGTTACAAACTAGTTCTGTTYCACTGGGATTTCCTGCATGGACTTTAGGATGTGAAGGAAATTGAAAAGAGACAGCATCAGCCTTTCCTACAATATGCACCATGCTGTCTTCCATTCCTCCCTTCCTGTTTTCTGAGGGACCAGAAAAGAAAAGGATAACTTTTTGCTTTTTATAGTCCACTTTAGTTTTTTTATTTAGTCTGAGCTTTGTTGTTGCCTTGAGTTATTTTAAATATTTATGTATACAAGTATATAGTTTACATGATGGGTAAGATAATTGCTAAATCTTTTTTTGGAGGATTTGTTGTGAGAGTGGAAAGGGGGAGGTTTAAGTTTGCTGTAAGACTGGAAACCTGAGACCTGGGAATTGTAGTATTACTCAATTACATGACTGGTTTTTATTTCCTTTATGCAGGCAATGCTTGTGGTGCATGACACTGTAGCACAGAAGAACTTTGACCCAGCTCTTCCACCTCTACCTGATAACTTTGATGATGATTTTGATGAGGAATCAGTGAAAATTGTTCGGCTAGTGAAAAATAAAGAGCCCTTGGTACATATTAGATAACCCATCTCTTGTCATAAAACTTGATAGTGCAAGAGTGTTACTGTGAGTATGGAGATGTCATCAAATAGCCTTCAAAAACTAGGAGTATTCTGAAGCTAGTAAAATAAAATTTATAAAAATTTGGCAGATGCACCTTCACAGTTTTGGATTTGGGTGCTTTATGGACATGAGTTCATAATGTTACCACAGGAAACATTGTATGTTGAAGCAATTATGCTTATTTTTTAATTTTATTCAATTTTTTAATTAATTATTTTTATACTGTAGCAAATATTCAGTGGCTTAATATATTCACCTGCATGAAAGTCAGTGATGTATGGTAAGAGTCTGTTTGATACCTGTTTGTAAGCATTATATTGTCAAGGTACTAATTTTATACAAATGGAAATGGAAGAATTGATTTCCTGAGAAAAAAAACAGTTGTGTGTTGTGTTGGGAAAGAAATCTGCTTTTTGTGTATCACAGTAGTAGAAGGGAGCAGTGAATGAATTCCTGATCAAAGCTTTGCATTGCCAGCAGAGATAGGAGGAGGAAGAAAAAGTCTAATTACTTGGCTTTTGATGTTTTTGTATATRAAAGTGCTGACTGTGTTGTATAAAGATTACGAAGAAGAGAGAGAGAATTTGTTACTATAGGCTGTTTTGCACACTTGAGTGACTTTGATGACCACAATAATGCAGCAAGTGTAGGCACTTAGCAAAGTCAGCAGAAAGGAAGGTGTGTGCACCTTCCCATAATCACTTGGCATGGACAGAACTTGAATAATGGTGGTAATCATCAAGGAGAAAAAAAAAATCCATAGAATAAACTAATTCCAGTTTAAAAGATATAATAGTGTGCAYGTTATTTCACTGGTTGCTGTATTCAGATCAAATTTCTGACAGTTTTTTGGGTGGGGGGTATGTTTTATTTCAGGGAGCTACCATCAGAAGAGATGAACATACAGGAGCTGTGATTGTAGCAAGGATCATGAGAGGTGGTGCAGCTGATCGCAGTGGTATGATTGCAGTAGTACATTTCTGAAGTTGCATTTGTAAACCTTTATAAAGTTTCCTAAGCATGCACTTAGCTTTTTTGTATTCCATCAGTAATCTGTTAATTTAATTACATAGATTTTTTTTTATTAAAATGGCCGTTAGAAAAAAAATGAAAACAGATGGAAGGAGTAGGTTTGAGCTTTAGAAGAAATCAAAGAATGTTTTTTACTTTTAATCTAGTAGCATGGTTTATTTGATGTATCCAGGGTTGTCTTCTGTTTGCTAAACTGAGAAATTCCTTTATGTCGATTAACGGTAGCTGTATATACAAATACAACCTTTCTTACTGAACTGGATAATCAGACCTAAAACTTCTAAAACCTTTTCATGTCTTGTTTAAAAAACATTTAGTCTAGCATTCTTTCTGGGACTGTGTAGTGTTGATCTGTCAGATGACAGATGTCATTCCTGCCTTTATGGTTAGCAATGTGTCTTCTTATTTTTTAATATGTGGTCACACTCAAAACTATTCCAGTTTTGCATATTTAATACTGATCCAAATAGTGATTATCCAGAGTTCCTTTCTACAATTTGCCTGTCTCTCTCCTTTGAGACTGCTGTATGGAAGGAAATGTGCCATAAGGAATAAAGGCAGGAGATTTGGAGGCACATTTCCAACAAAGGCACTTGGCTAAAAAAYCCATCACTCTGGATGAGGGAGGAGAGGAAATAATGCTGATGACTTATGCTGGACATCAGAGGAGTGCTGCTTTCCAGTCTCTAGACCTATTTTAATTTACTTACCATCTTTTCAGGTCTTGTCCATGTTGGAGATGAACTAAGAGAAGTCAATGGTATTACTGTGCTTCACAAACGACCAGAAGAAATAAGTCAGATTTTGGTCTGCACTGCTTTTCATTTCAAGATCTTTTCTGTCTGGTGATCTAGTAATTACAGTAGATGATGAAATTTAACCATGAGTTTAAAATATAGAGCTAAGAGATGCAATCCCTGCTTGTCTTTGCATTAAGAGTTTTTCTTCTCCCAGTGGATTAGTCTTCTCCTTTTGACTTCAGAAACTGCTGCGAGCTGGATTGGTACCAAGTAAGATACAAATACAAAGTTAACGTGTTGCTCTGTCAAGAACTTCCCTTTAATGCTTTGTTTGTGACAAGCAAACTGCAAATTAGAAGTACATTCSTAGAAGATGGTTCATAGTGTGGGATGTTAGGAAGCTGAAGAAAGTCTTGTCTGTGTGTTCAACAGAGCTGTCAGTCTGTTCTTTACCAGCAGATTCCTGATGACATGAACAAATTCTYGCTTCAAGCTTCTCTAACATGAATACCCACAAATCTGGGTAGAAAGTGGTGTAGCTCTTATGCTTCTTTATCTGTGACTTCCCTCTTGTGGCATAGTTCCCCCTTGCCTTGGTGTTGAATGGAGTTAGGGACACAGGAAGGAGACTGGCAACAGAGAAGACTGGCATAAATTCCATCACCTAATTTCAATTTAGATCAAAATCATCCCAAATAATGACAATGACTGCTTATAACTTGGGGGAGGGGGGAGCAGGGTGTCAAAATCACTTTGGAATAGTGTATAAAGTTTTATTTATGGGGACCTTGGGGTGCTATTCATCTGTCGTGTGTAATTTCTAATCAATCTGTGCCGTGTGAACTAATGCCTGAAGTGTAACACTTCCCTTTTTATTGTTTATTTTTTGAAGATAAGCTACAGATGTCTGTGTTTGCTTTTTAATCTGTGCAGAATTGCAGGCTTCTCTACAACACTGTTAATCTCCTGCAAAATAAGGCATCTAAAATAGATGATAAACCCATTCTAGATTTCTGAAGGACCAAGAAATGCTTTTTAATTTACTGTAACTAACAATTATCATTTACTAGCAAACGTTTCTAGAGTGAAAGTAGGTGTTTATTTTGTAGGTGTTTACCTTTCACTCTAACAAGTTAGCCACTATATGGAGAAGACACAGCAGTATTTTTCAAAGCATCAGTTTAAGATGATTAGTCTGCAAAAATTTAAGTCAGTGTCCTACTAAAAGCCACGGAAATATTTAATGTGCTGTGAACTGTAGCCCAGAAATTAATGCWGTTGCTAAAAGCAAGTGAAGGAATTTTAATGCAGGTCTTAAWATGTTTTAGTGAGATAGTTACTATGCATGTCTCCATGGGCAAGACACTGTTGTGGAGTCATGGAATTTGTGGAGTCTCTGCAATGCAGTTAAAGGGTGGATTAGCTTGTTTTGAGAAGAGGTAGCTGCTGTCTCCTTAACTGGAGCTTGAATAGTCTGCATTGTCTCCTTGTCCTGCTTTCAAAGTAAAAAACCATTTCTGTTTTTCTCAGGCTCARTCTCGAGGGTCGATAACATTAAAAATCATTCCAGCCATCAAAGAAGAAGATCGTCTGAAAGACAGCAAGGTATGCAGCTGAAATCCTGAGGCCCAGATTTAGTSTGACACTTCTGTAAATGCCATCCCTGCTGTTTCACTGGGAGCTGCCACAGACACATAACTGAAYTACAAAGACAGCAGAGTGGTTTCTTGTGCAGTACCCTTTTATTCCATAGAATTACCTGTGTGACATTTCTCTTCTTCATCTTGGCACATGTTCTTTTATAGCATTTCTGAAATCCAGCCTCTTCTTTCTGGTTCATGTAATTAAATTTGGTTCTGCCAGTCTCCTCTTACCATGGCAGCTGCAATCTGTCCATTATCTTTGGGCATTTTGCCACCTGCCTGAGTGAAAATGGACCRTGAAAATGGACCTATATCCAAACAGAGCTGCATTCATCATGTGACCCCATCAGCCCACCTCGTCTGCCCTCCTTGATCAGCAATAATTTACTGCTCAGCTGGTCCCTTGGAAGAGTCCTCTGTCACTCTGTCTGCTTCCTTGCTTTTAGTTGCTGAATTTTTCCTTGAAGCCCACCAGTCTAAAGTGGTTCTATTGTTATGTGTTAAATAACAGTGTTAAATGTGTTAAGGAACATTTTAAGGACAGTCTTTACAATTGGGCAACTTTGCCATAAATCCATTTTTATTTTTTTCTCCCTCCCTTTATTWCTTCTCAGCCATTTCTATATTGCATTTTGTCCCTAATGTAGATTGTGATCTGTGTTTCTTGGGACTTTGATCATTTGAGTCTCATGCTCCACAATGCCCATATATAATGACTTTGTCTGTGCTGGAAAGTGAAGTAATTTTTCTGCATAAATCAGTCAAAATACAGATGCAGCTTGCTAGGTGTCTGTATTTTTGAGTGCTTGAAGGAGGGATAAAGTGTATTTATAGTTACCAATGTTAGCATTGGGGAAAGCCTTTTAAAGGCAGTTTAAAATTGCAGATTGGACATGAAGAAATGACATATTAACTTTCTTTTAAAGGTGTTCATGAGGGCACTTTTCTGCTATAATCCCAAAGAAGACAGAGCCATTCCCTGCCAGGAAGCTGGGCTGCCATTTAAGAGGAGACACGTGCTAGAAGTTGTAAGCCAAGATGATCCCACGTGGTGGCAAGCCAAGCGTGTTGGGGATACCAACCTCAGAGCAGGCTTGATCCCCTCAAAACAGTTCCAAGAAAGGTTTGTCAGCAAAGATTACAGACTTTTAATTTTTTTCATCTGTACATAGCATCACATTGATTTTATGCTGGGTTTTTTTCACAGGAAATGAAGGGTATGGTCATGCCAGGGTAAATACAGCTGCTTAGAGGAAAGTGCTGAAAAGCTCCATCTTCTCTGATTATATCATAAACTTCCTAGCCTGATTTGGATTGTTTGCTATTGGCTTCATGCTTTGTAGCATAAGGACAGAAGCACTTGCTAAACAAACACGTGTGAAATGAAACGTGGAATATCAGTMTCTTAACCCTCTTGGCTTATGTGAAAAGCTGTTTCACAGCCTTGTACTTCCACAGATTTATTGTAGTTATTTTGAATTTATGCATACTCTATTCTTACATTTTCACACACACTGGGTAATTTGGTTTATTTGCCAGTAAATAACAAAAAACTTCCAATTGATCTGGGAGCAGTGGATAATTCCTATGTATGCATAGCTGCAATGACTGTTTTGGACTGTTTTGGTTATCTACTTAATGTTGCAAAAATATCATGTGGGCAAAAGGGAACTAGAAAAAAATTGGATTGATGAACTATTGATCTCTATGCTCTGATACATGAAAGCATAAAATGTTTTAGAATCTTCTCTCACTCCCTTACCAGTAACAATCTGGGACTGTCAGTTTTAAAGAAAGTTTTTAAAACAGTTGAATCAGAGACATTGTAAATCTTTTAAGAAAAAGCACAATTTCAGTCTTTATTTTCAATGCTATGTATATAACATGCTATAAATTCTCTAAAATTCTGAGTTTACATATCTAAAACATGATTATTTTCTATTTAGACGATTGACTTACAGAAAAGCAACAGGCACTCTGCAGAATGCCAGAACTCTGAAGAAACCATTATGTAAGTCTGTTCTGTTCTTTCAGTGATGATTTGATTGATAATAAGTTCTCAGTGTTTTTCTCTTACTTCAATAATGMTGTGTTTGATGAGTGTGCCACTGATTGATATTTTAAATACAATCTGCCATTGACTGATATGCATGGACACAAGCTGCCACAGGGGAGGATTTGGGGTTGAGCTTTAGTCAGTGTTGCTAATGTCTGTTGTTTTCAAAAAACACAGCTGTCCCTCTCTTCCTGCTCTCAAGAACAGGCTTCACAGATTTAGATGCCTCAAAATTTGCTAGTGTTCACACTTTTTCAATGGTTTGAAACTTGAAAGCTGCAAAAATAACTTAATGCAGACTTGTCAAAATTCTTAAGTTTCATAATTGCATGAAACTACTCTAAACTTGTATGAAAATAAARTGTAGCTTTAAGGAGGATAAAAATCACTGCAGCTGCATTTACRATCTGTATTTCAGGCTTAATGTTACAGAGCTGGTGTTCAGTAAATTTCAGATTCTTGTTTATAGCTCTGAAGTTCCTGTCACTGAATTACTCCCAAAAAACCCCACTRCTTGGGATGAAATTACTAGCAGGTGATGAAAAGTAGAAGCACTTTAWCCCAAAATGTGTTTCTGTTGCTCTTGGGTACTTCAGCACAGGGGTTATTGCTGTGGGGGGAAGCCCTGGGACTGTGTGAAGCCAGACAAGGAATCTGGGAATTGTCCCTCTTGAGTAATACATGTGAATTCCTGCCCATATTGCATGGCACTGGTCATGATGAAATGCAGGTATTCTTGTGCTGCAAGGAGGGAAATGCTCAATCAAATTATAAAGTAGCATTACTGATTGAAAAAGAAGCTTTTCCAAATTGGTTTCCATTGCATTCAAATTAGGAGGCATGTAATGAGGATTGCTGCTTAAGCTTTATCTCAGATGCTTTCAACAGCTAAGCTGCTAACTGGTTATAATCCTAAATTTCAGCCCAAAATTCTTTAATCRGTTGATAAGGGTATTGTACTGCAGTGCATTTTTAATTATAGGAAAGCCTGTTAAGCAAATCAAACCAGAAGAACCTTCCTTTCCATTTTCTGTAATTTTGCTCAATTATTTGTCCATCTTTTAATATCATAACTCTGCCTTTCATGCTAACTGTAGATGATCAGTCTTCTGACAAAGGTAGGTACTCTCCTAACTCACTTTGTCTCTGAGTATTAACAACCAATGCATTTTCTAAAATACTTGCCATGATTCCAAAGGCAATAGTACATCTGTTATTCCTAGGACTTTTTTTTTATGAGTTATTATTTAAACTAATCTAATTCAGATTGATTACTTCAGTAATGATAATTTCCAMGTTTGCTTCTGATTCAAGAGAAAAGATTGTCTTCTGATAGGTATTTACATATTCTGTAGGTTTCTGAGTGAGGTTCAAAGAGCTGCAAGTTAAATGCAGTCTTTGTATCTGGTATGTTTAAAAAAAAAAGAAATATTGGGATTTAAYATTTTAGGGCACCTGTATCAATCCAAAGTGATTTGTCTTCATTGTTCATTTGGACTGTTTTCTGTGTTATTTTCATTAAAAATGAAAGCACACATTCTGTGTGGGGCTTATGCAGTTTATATGTCCTTATCCCAGACACCTTTCCAAATATCAGGTATTTCCTGTTGAATTCTGTATGCTGTGATGTTTTTGTGAGTACACATTGGTATTGCTTGATTACAGACCTGCATCCAACCATTCATTAAAAAACAAAGCCCTTTCTTGACTGGCACCTTTTGTTAAAGGTTTAAGCTGCACATATTTTTGTTTATGGTTGGGTTTATCCCAGAACCATTCCACCACCACCTTAAAATGAGTAGAATTTTGTAAATATTGCAAGGACACAGATGCCAAAATGTTAACAAAACAGGTATTCTTTCAGGAAGAAGGAGAATTTGGTAATTTTCTTAGGATTGCAGTATATTTTTTGTAGCTATCATGGTTTATTATGCACACATTTAGGAGCCTTGGGGGTGGTTGTAATTTGAGGAGGGATAGGTTGGATTTTTTGAACATATTCAGAATGCATATGACCAAGACATCAAATCTTTATCTTTTTWAAAAAGAATTAATAAGCACTGATAATTTAACTTGGTTAAAATCAAGGGGATTTGAGTTCATCTTTGTCATTTCTGATTCCCTTTTTCAAGCCCAAATGATAATGAAATATCAGAAGAGGCAATTTTCTTACATAATCATACTCATTTATGAAGTTACTCATTTTAAAAAAAGAGCTCTGTGTTTCTAGAGTCTTCTTTCTTACTTAAGCCTGAGTATTRTACTTTAACCAGCAGCACTAATCAAATGTCATGAATCCTGAAAAGCATAAGCTCAGGGAACTGTAAATACCAAGATGTAAAATTCTCTAGTGCAATATCAAAGCCAAGAATTTTTTCAAATATAAACCACTAGCCAAGGCAAGGCAGTAATGTTTATGTTTGAAAAGAGTGTTCAGACAATGTAGGATATAACATTTCTTTCCTTGCCAATGAGTCAGACTTGTATCACACAGATTGTTTAAGATCTCTCTCTCCTCCCTCTCACTCTTCTTTTCTTTGTGCCCCCCACTTCCTTGCTTTTTAATTTACAGAAGACTGTGACTGTGAAGGATATTTCAATGGACATTACATAGGTGAGTAACCAAAATCTCTTACCTCATCCCTAACACACCCACCTCAAAAAAACCCAAAACCAAAATGAAAGCAAAAAAACCCTACCCAAAAACCCCCACCTCCATGTTAAAAAATTAAAACTGGACTATTCATATTAATTTCCCATACATTCATAAASTAGATTATCTCTGTGAAAAGGCATAATTGGACTTGGCATAACCAATTCTTGGCAGTTTGAAGTTAGATGAGGGTGGTTTTATTATAGGTTGGGTGCTTGGTATTCTATCTCATATGCAAACATTTRTTCTATAATATTAGCATATATGCACTGATTTGATTATAAATTAAATTTGTGGGAATAACTTATATTTTAAGATAATAACTTATAGTGAACAAGCTTGAAAATCTGGATCAGTAGAGACATGCCAATATATCTTGTGTTTTTCTGCACAGCTGGTTTACGCAGGAGCTTCAGATTGAGTCGTAAAGAGAAGGAAAACAAYGTGAATGAAGGCAAGCAAGCAGAGCAGGCAGATGCAGCAGAGTTCCTAACATATGAAGAAGTCACAAAGTATCAGCAACAGCCTGGTGAACAGCACAGGCTGGTGGTTTTGATTGGTAAGATGCCCAAAGGGCTCAAAATTTTTCACCTTTCTCCCTCTTCCCTTTTCCTGCACTTCAAGAGGCTTTCTKTAGATGTTTGGTTTGGGAGTTTTGTGGTTCTGTTRGGTTTTTTAAAAGRTTTTTCTGGTTTTTGTCAGAACTCACTCTTTTATTTTAAATCACATTAAAAAACAAAAAAAAAGAGCAAGGAGTCAAACTCACCAAATCCTTCWAAAAATAATGATGCAGGATTATTTCTCATTTTGCTGATTCACTTTGGTTGTTACTTCAGCATTTACTTAGGCTATCAGAACTGTTGATGAAGAGGTAGATGTTAGAATTATCTAACAAGATCTTGCATGCAAATTGAATTCAGTAGACTTACCAGCCTTGTGTTAATCCAGTTTCCCAGGATGCCCTAAAATTCAGGGGTATCTCATAGAACTGATTGCTAAGATTACAGATTTTCTGACTTCATGTCTGCCATATGTTTATCCAACAGCTGTTCCAGGAATTCTTTGTTCCTGATGATGTTCTTCAAAGCAGAATATGACAGAACAGGTCACCAGATCTCTCACRAACTGGTTTCTTCAAGCACACTCCTGAATCATATTATCTGTGTGAAACTGATAGGTTTATTTTCTSCAATATTTCATTTCACACAGAAATTTATCAGTCCCTTTTATTTTTTTTTAGGTTGTTTGGGGGCCAGGTTAAGTGAGCTCAAGCAAAAAGTTGTGTCAGAGAACCCACAGGAATATGGTGTYGCAGTTCCACGTGAGTAAAATTTACTGACTTGTCTGTTTTGTCTTTATTCCATAAATGCTGCCTAATGAATGTAGTGCCATCTGCACAGATAAATGATARTTTGTGTTCTGACTACTGATTGTATCCATATTTCTGAAGTAGTTCAAATYATTTTTCTTGCTGTAATATAATTTTTGCCCTTAATAGGTGAATAAATCATTATGTAACTTGGCACATATGAATTTTGGAATTCTGTCAACTCAGTGGGTTTGCTTTTTGTTTTTAATTGTGTTTTCCTAAGTGGGCAGATTGCATTTTCTCAGTGTCTGTGAAAAAAATGGAAAATTTAAAACGGGAAGAAAAAATGGAGTGTGACTTGCAAAKAGGGCTGGTGTGATAAGCTAGTATCTTAAGAGCCAGCCAAAACATTGKGTGTTTAAAAGAGGGTGATTTTTCTTGAGAATAGCATGTCTTGCYATCCATGTTGTGCCATGTCTTGCTATCCATGTCTTGCTTCCATTCTCTTCTAGATACAACAAGATCAAAGAAAAGTCATGAGAGAGAGGGAGTAGAATACAATTTTGTTTCGAAGCAATCATTTGAGACAGATGTGCAGCAAAACAAGTGAGTTAATTTAAAAATACTGGKATAATTGACTACTTAAAAATACTGCTTGTTAAAACTTCTTATGAATACCAAAATCAGGTGACAAATTGGACTGGCTGTATTTGAAAGATTCAACTAAGTAAAAAGCTCTTTATTGAGTCTGGACTGTTAGAGTGAACTCAAAAATTTAGCTAGAAGCAATTTAGGAATAACACAAGAAGGAGGGTCCTGAGTTAGAATTTAACCCTGTGTAAGTGTTGTGATTGGTCAGAATTGAACCTAGTGGAGGTAACAGATATTTAGCTGGGTGTACTCACTATTCAATGTGATGGGTAAAAACCTTTATTCACAACTCTACTTGAAAATGGGTGGTAGAGTGAACCTGTGGCCATAAAGGACTTTCTGTGATGCTGAGCATGTTTCCTAAAAGTTCAGATTTTGACTTGTCTCCCAAAAGATGGGAGAATTGCAGTCCATTTCCTTGCCAGCTTTGTTCTATTTTCTGTGAAAAATACCCTTTCTTCTTCCCCTTTTGGTCAATAGAGTTGATTAGCTATTAGTGATGTGTGAATAATTGCTACTMAGCAAGGAAGGAAAACAAAAGTGGGAAAAAATTAAATCCATACCCAACCCCCTCGATTTTCTGCCTTTCTCCTCCCTGTTTGACCACTTTGACTTCAGCAAACAGCTATCAAATGTTCTAAGTTAAATATTCTTAATATTTTTTGTAGATGGTATTTAAAAATGTCTTGACTTTTTAGATTTGTGGAACATGGAGAATACAAAGAAAATTTGTATGGTACAAGTCTGGAGGCAATCCGCTCYGTGATGGCCAAAAAGAAGGTTTGCTTGGTGGATGTGGTACCTGAAGTAAGTCCTGCTGCTTGTTTTAAAGAATGCAAATATGATTTACTGTGCTGCCAGCCTTAATAATGGATTTTCACCAGTTGTGACTGCCTGCCCTGCAAGGAACAGTGATGCTCAAATCTGGTTTTTGGCAGTTGGGCTGAGCAGAATGAGGCTTGTGGGAAAGCAGAGCAGTGGTTACAATTCCTGGATGTTTCTTTAGTAGCTCTCACTGTGGAACTTTTCCCTTGCTGTAATCCTTGAAGGATTAACATGTATCACTGTGCCAGCCTGCTCAGGTCCTAGAGAGAATAGTTAGAACAGAGTTGTTTTTTCATTCTAGTTCCCTGTTGCTGTTTTGATTTGAGGCAGTTCAAAGAGGTGTTCTGAAACGAGTAACCTTCCCCTTGACCAATCCCTTCCCCAACCAATCCCTTCTACCAATAAGGAATGAGATATGAATAGATACAAATGAAAAAATAAGTTTACTAACAAAAAGAACACCAACAGGCAAGAGGGAAAAAAAAGAACTGCCAGATATCAAACTCAAAGATACAGTACCAGTTTTTGGGTGCAGACAGATACAGTAAAATCAGGAATCACCCCAGGACACCGGTGTGGTAAGCAGTGCCAGTAGACTTGCTTTTAATACCTCCATACTGGGAGTTAATACTTGAAATTTGGTTCAGGTTTTGTAACTGAGAGACAGCTTTTGTAACTAGGAGAAGACTCATGGTACTACCTCAGATGAATTCCAGTTTGAAAATTTACAGTTTTTGGCTGCTTAAGCAAAGCAAACTGTAACTTTCCCATGAAGTAAAGGTTTTTTTATACTTTCCTCAGCATTTTTKTCATGTCCTTGCTTGTTGGAATCACAGTGCATAGCAAGGCATCTGTGCTGTTAGCTCCATGTACTCTTGTGTGCCAGCCAGGATGCTGGCATAAACCTTTGGTGTGAAGAGCAAAAAATTACTGTAGTCAGGTGTGTAGTACACAGGACTTCACAGTGTGTCAGCCTGTATTAGTGAAATTGTTAAAACCAGTTTATCATTGACATGCAGCAAAAAGAAGTCTGATAACAAAAACCATCTGTTCACAGGCAGTGAAGCACTTGAGGACTCCTGAGTTCAAGCCTTATGTTATCTTTGTGAAGCCTCTCATTTCAGAAAAGAAAAAAAATGTCTTAAAATCTCCCATGTCAGAAGAAATCTCAACCCCCCTCGTAAGTATTATAATTTCTAATCTCTATTTTAAAGTAAGAAGTATTTGGGCTAGCACTTCTGGTACATGAAGGAGCTCCTCTTCCATGACAAGAGTTAAGTGGGGCACYAAGTGGGTCCTGTGCACATAAAGCCATTCAGATGGAACTTTAGGATGGGATTTTTGACTCCTTATAGTTTAAAATTAACATGAAGCCAAGTGCCAGTCTTCCSTATGGATCTGTGTACATCACCAAGGCTGCAGCAGGGGAAGTTAGTACTCMTCTCAGATAAACCAGTAATTATTTTACATTTCTAGTGAGCAGCCCATCAAACCTAGAACAACTGCAAATAGGTGATGTRTAAATCTGAACAGAAATAGAGAGCATAATGACATTACTCTGAGTAACCTGAACTTAAATTTATGTTACAGAACTTAGCTTGGTAAATTTTTGTGTAAGCCCTCAAAATTGCTGAACTTGGGACAGGATATGCAGCATTCCTGTTCAGTTTTTGAGGAGTGTGAGTTCCATTCTTAGGTTAGGCAGCAACTCCAACTACATAAAATGCAGCATCACCATTTCAAGTCCCTCCTGTAACATATTTTTCCCCTTGCATTTGTTTGAACTAGCCTGCTGCTCCTTGATCACAGTTTTAATATCTTCAATACCTTTTCCTCATGGTAGCACCATTTGTTTCGTGTTCTTTCTCAAAGTAATGACTCATTGTACTAATATATTTTAAAATGCTGGGTTACCATGCTGTAAACTTCATACCAACATCTTGTGTTGATCAGCAGGATGAAGAACAGCAGGAAATTATTAATTCAGCAGCATTCATTGAAGAGCAGTATGGCCATTTAATTGACACTGTACTGGTGAAAGAAGATCTCCAGAGTGCATGTAATGAGCTGAAAACTGTRTTAGAGAAACTAAACAAGGATTCATTTTGGGTGCCAGTCAGCTGGGTAAGGTCATAGCTTGTTACCATGTTTAAGGGAAAGACTGTAGAAAAATGTCTTGTAAATAAGTGAATTAGAAATGGGAAGTATGTGGAATTTGCTTCAAAACTGCTGGTCTTATCTAGAAGGCAACATGTAAAGACTTCATGAGGAACAACTGAACAAAGTCACAAACTGACACTGCCTCTCTGACTCAGAATTTTGAATAGCAGCTGTCATTTAGAAGTTGATATTCAGACTAAGCCAGTCCAGTCTTTTACTGATCTTTAGACTGTAAATAGTGCATTTTGTTACAAGGGAGTTTCACAGAGRGTCCCACACTTCCAAAGCATTTTAGTGCTGAGACACTGACAAGGTGGAAGTTTTGTCCTTTGGCCACAATTCTGGTCACAAATKTTGTGGCTGGAGTTAAAACCTCTGAATCAAGTACCCTTTGGGAACAAGCTACTTCAGCTGGGTGGGAAGAGAGTACTTCAGAGAGTGGTTACACCACATCTGGCCAGCAAAACATGCTTCCCTTCACACAGAAGGATGAAYTGCAAATCCTTTCCAATCAGGCACTACAAACGAGGCCAGCTGTAGAAGGGGTTTGTTGATTCCATCCCATTTCCCAGTAGTCCAGGTTGTCTTGCACAGGTGTTACTCTSCTCATCCACAGCTTATGCCCTCTTTCCCAGTCTCTTTCTACTGCCACAGGAAAAATGCTAAACAACCTGTGAGTGTACCTGTATGAATAGCTCATAAAACAGAAAATTTTTATAGTGTACATGAAAACAACTGYATATAGTTCTAAAATAGGACATTTAAGAAGCTTTGTTTCTGCAAAACATCTTTGCTGCCTGATGGGGAAACTGCCTTGACACAATGTAACAGCTCCAAAAAGGGCACTAAAAGGTAGAACCTGAAGTAATAAATAGCTGGGCTACAGGTCAAAAACCATCCTTCCAGCATTTATGACTACTTTTGTTCTAAATCTGGTAAAGGTTTCTAGAGCTTCTGATTGGCCTGAAGGAGAAAACTGTTAGAATACTTGAGGAGACATGAATACACAGCATTTTTAAGTGGGTCTCAATAAGAAGATGCAGAGATGATTCTGGAAGTACCTGTGCTTTGTRACTGGGGGTGTGAGGGGAGAGCATTGTCCAGGTGCATGTTAGCTGTCACTAGTTCCTGTTGTCACTTGCCTGCTGAGGTCTGATATTTCCTGTGTATTGTGCCCTTTAAACGAGACCTTTTGGTGTACCACTCTTGTTCCTTTATATCTTAACAGTATGATGTTGTTCTTGTTCCATGACATTTAGCAGAACTAAAAGTTGCACATTAAAAGCACATTTCTTACATACCAGTGTCACTGAATCTACATGATGTCTAGCCCGACAAGTGGAGTAGAAGAGTCACCCCCATCCATCTTCTCCACTCTTCTCCATCCTCTCCAAATGGCAATTTTCATGTCTGGTCCTGCCCATGGGYACTGAAGTTCTGTTCCCACTGCTACAAAAATAACTTTTCCCAATCAGGCCTCTGCACCAGCTTGTCAGTGCTGCCACACCAGTGGCCTCWGCAAATTCTTCAGTGCAGTGGGCTGTCAGCTCTGCAACCAAAAGTGATTTGGCTTCTTAGAGAGGCACATTGCCAAGTGAATTTTGTGACAGAGGTACCTTGATCCTATGAAAAACTGAGATATTTTAAAAACTATTTCATTAACAGCATTTCAAACTAAGTCATTTTATGAAAATATTAAATGGCCAGATTGATCTCACCCTAGATCTGCATTTCAGGTTACAAACAGATTTTTATAGTCTGCACGGCATAAACATATTTAGAATATTTATATTAAATTTAAAGCAAACTAAGGGTCAGAATTTGTTTAAGGCAAGGTTGCTGTCATAACATAAAAATAAAATATTTTGCATGACTAGCAGTAAATAAAGCTGTATGTTTGTTTTATGATCTAACAATGCATGTTTTTACTATTAGACTAAGAAAAGCCAGGCACAAGTTCCATACAAGGTACACCTTGAATTTTCATTTATTTTAATGTAAGTTACCAAAATACAATATTGCCATTAAAAGTGGAAAAGGTAAAAGGATGTAACTTCATAATGGGGTTGGTGACAGACAGACTCATCCTAGTGCAAAGTCTTCTATAAGCAGCATATTTTTTATTAAGTTCAGTTTTATTGCTGTGGTTGCTGAAAGAGGACAAGAGGTGTGGGTGTGCAGAGAAGTGAGGGATTTTCCTGATAAATGTTCAAAGATACATWCTCTTCATGAGAACCCTAAAATTAACTAGTAAGCCAGCTTACTATTTAGGGACATGTAGCAATTTTGACTTTTTAAAACCATCCAAAATCAGGAAACTCTGTCCTCTGCTCAGGGTAACTCCTGAGGGTTAACTACATAATTGGAACTTGGGTGCCTAAAAAACTCCCATTCCAGGGAAGTGAAGTTTTTCAGTAATATTCCAAAACTGAGTCCTACCTTATTTAASCTAATGCAGGAATTCCAGCAAAAGTCCATGTTGAATGTCATCCAGCAAGAGCACATCTAAGCAGCACTATGATTAAATATTGAAAAATCTGAGAGCTGCCAGAAAAATACCTGCAGATAGCAGTTGTGCAAAAGGCAAGGAGAAATTGTATTTTGTTATCAAATAAAAATGTATTTTGCTAATGAGTTCGTGTTTTGGATCTGCACAACTGATGGCATGTCAGACATGGCACAGAGCAGTGCTTGGAATCACACTCCCCCACCTTTTTTTTTAAAGTCCCTCCAGTCAGGCAGAACAGCCACGTGTATATTTAAGTCAGTGAACAATAGGTACCACATGAGCCTTTATTCTGCCGTGCTGAAGATTCCATTAGCTGCACTCCCTGCTTCTCTGTGCCTTTATCCCAAAGACTTGGTGTCTGCAGGATCTTTAGGACAAGTTCCTCAAAGGCCTGTTGCACTCCATCCTCTGTCTTGGCACTGGTCTCTGGAGAAGGGGGGAAAACAGTTATTTTTATCTTATTTGCAGCGAGTTTTACATTCCACTTTGTAAAAATGAAGATGGGATTTTTCTGATGAGTGAACCTCCTCTCCATTCTCTCTTAAAGGTACRTTTAAGTTCAATAAGATACAGAAAKGCATCCCTGTCTGAAGCAYCACATTTTTCCAKSTAMAAAAATCCACAGTTCCCCATTTTCTCCACAAAGGAGAATTTTTTCCCAGGTTGTGTCCGTAAATAAATCTAGGTGATAATTATTCCCTAATGAAACTGAGAAACAAAGAATACAGAGGGAATTACATGTTGTCCCCTATGTGTTTGCAATAGAAATATTTTCAAGAAACTTTCTCTTTAGAAACTCAGTTTGTTTCCCATCTTTATATTCTTCGCATTGTTGCGAACATTTTATTGTTGCTCTAAGAATATTGTCTTTTATGTGGTTGCAACAAAAATCTGGAAACAAAAGATTAGCCAAGGTCTTTGCTGACATGAGTAAGGAGAAAAATTTCAGTCTCCTGGGCTCTGAATTAAAAAACCATTCTAATCAAGCGAATATAAACTTCATGCCTGTATAATATATGCAGTAAATGTGTTTCAGAGAAAAGTGCTTTTAGTTGCAGTCCATGCAGAGCATCTCTGCAAAAAGCTGAAACCTACATCTATGCATATGAATTACATCAAAAGGAACCCATATTAATTATTTTAAAAGGTAGCAACTCATCAACCTGAAATCCAATTGTACATTCATGCTTAGCAATACCAAAATAAACATATGAATACAGAAGTTTTTGTCACAGAGRTGCATACCTATAAAAAGCAGGGAGTGTTTTCTAGCAAACTGAAGCCCTTCTTTTCTCTCTACTTCACGATCAGGCTGCAAARACAAATTAAAACCGTGACTAAAATATGCTACACTTGCCACTTTGAAGAAGTACCCGGAAAGCCACCACTGCAGAAGTGAGGTTTTGTCAAAAGGAAAAAAATGTCTGTAATATGTATTAATCAAGGGGATTTYCCCACTCGACTGCTAGGGTGGCTGTTAGGGGATCAAACTGAACAGCAACAACATCAAACCATAGAGTCAGAAAATCTGAGCTGGAAGGGACAGGATCATCAAAGTCCCACTCCTGGCCCTGCACAAACACAGCCCAAGAATCACACCATGTGCCAAATCAGTAGGCAATGAACATGTCGCTATGTTCTGAATCAATTAAAAGCAAGATATATGGCAGAAAGGCATATAAAAGGTTCTGAAAGGCATATAAAAGGTTCTGAAACTGGGCACACTTGGAAGGAGGCAGAAGAGAACATAGTTCACTGAACGCCTCTTGTCACACAGCAAACTACCTCACTGTGCAATAGGCTTTAAATATGTCAGAAAACCCCTTAACAGAATATCATCAATTGCATCTCTACAGGAACATTTCCATTAAAGTCTTAAACAATAGCTCCTTCTAAATGATAGAAGTGGAGCCTTCCCAACTCAGCTGCAGAGTGCATTACCTCTTCACACCACAGATGTGCTTCTCACAGCACTTATCTCCCATTTACATGCTATGATGAGTAAGTAATCCAGGGAAGAATGGAAAGGGATGCATTCCCAAACTGACCTTATCGATTTTATTGCCAACCAACATCTTCACGGTGTCACTTTCAGTGCTGTTCATTTCCAGCTCATTCAGCCAACTTTCCAGTCCTGTGAAAGTGTCTTTTCTTGTAACATCATACACTGGTAACAGAGGAAAAGGAGCTTAACAGCTGGAGAGTCCTGAGCAATGTTTGCTTCATTGTGACAGAACTTAGGCCACACTTCCTARCTACTGCCCAGAAAAAAAGAAAGGAATTACAGAAAGCCATCAACCATATCTTCTGCCCAGAGCTGGAACACACTGGGCTGTGCTCACCCCAAGTCACTTAAGGATTACAGAACACAAGCACCTCTGCAAGTGAAAATCAGMCTTACCAACAGAAATATTCTGCCTGCTGGTAGCTCCAAACTGGACCACACAGAATATTTTAAAATAGGTATTTTGTCATCTGATTAAATGGATAAGTACATGCACACACTGCTGCTAAAAACCTGGACTGAGTTAAAAGCTCCTTATGGCACTCACACCTTAATAACTGCATTTATGTAAAAAACTAAGGTTTAAAAATCATAGGAAGAGTATTTTGTCCAGTAAGGTTAAGGTTAGCTTTCACAAACTCTGAAATTAAGAATCCCTGTGTGTTCTAATTGCTGTTGTCACACAGAAATGGCCTAGCCATCCATTACCTGTGTATAAACCTCAAGTCTTACCATAATCACAACAATCACATCAATAGTTTCTGGGAAAGAAAAAGGTAAAAACATCACAGGGAAAAGAACATGACAGAAACCCTGATTAATTACCCTTATTACCAGAAAATCACTGAAGTAATAACTAGAAAGCTACTAATTCATCCATTCAACAGCTTGCAGTATGACATCTCTGGTTTTTTAATTTAAAATATTTTGAAGCATCAGTATCTCCTACCAGTGGTCTTGCATTCTCAGTGTTTGAGCCAATATGCAGTAGTGTCGTAAAAACTATAATTACTCCTCTGACTTTCTTGGGCAATTTTGCTCTGTTGCAAACCCTTTTGCAAGGACATGCACATTTAGGAGTAATAAAGACCACAATTCCTGTAATCATRCTTTTATTCCATTTATTTCATACCTAAAACAACTCCTTGAGCTCCTCGGTAATAACTGTGAGTCAGAGCTCTATAACGCTCATGTCCTGCTGTATCCTACAGAGGAAGGGGGAAAAAAACCCAACATCACAAAAAACACACACCAACAAATATATTTAGAACAAAAAAGGTATTTTAGACTAAACAAGATGAGCAGATTTTAAATCTTCCTGACCAGTAAGCATACGTGAAACATTAAGATACAAGAATGAGGAAAGCAGTCAGGAAACAGCAGCAACAGAAGTGATAAATGGTTAAGAAGTGTAGAAAAGCATGGAGAGGACTTGATTGAAAGCAAAATCGATGAGCAGACAGCTGTAACATGGGTGAGACAATAAGAAAGTAAAAGGGACTCTAGATAAGAACTTTAAATCAGTAGTTTTATTCAATTATTACTGCTGGATGTCTCACTTAAACTCATGAATATGTAAGAATAAACAAGGTACTAGGTACAATATGAAATTCAACACATCCTCAAAACAATAAGGAAACAAAAGATCACACAAATATATTTTTTAAAAAAATATTTATTTTTATGCACAACTTACAATTGACAGAGCAACAGCTATATTGTAATTTATTGTTAAAAAAAAAAAAAAGAAACTAAAATTGGGAATATACTTACCTAACTCGATTCATTGTTAGTGAAGAGATTGTACTTTAGTCCCAATGACTTAATTAGTAATGGTGTTTTCTTTCTCAAATACTATGACCATACCCATAAAATCTCTCCTTCCTAGGACTCTTCCATTCCATTCAGAAGAATAAAATGTTTGTTTTATATTAGAAATAATCCTGATCACACAGCTGCAATCTGATTTCAATTTGCACATTCTGAAAATTCARCAACAGGAAGTTTGGGACAAATGCTCGAGTTTCCTGGTGAATTTGAGCTTTAAATAGTTCAAGAACAAGTTTTGGTCTTGTTTTGTTTTTTTCCATGATTTTAACCAAAATAAAACATCCGTGTAGTATACACAGAGTTGCTGCACAGCCCCTACAGGCAATCATCCAATTCATTAATTACCCAGAGCATCACCTTTCTTTATTCGATTTATTTGCTCTGGGTCACTTTAGGCAGGAAACTCCTCCCTTTCTCGCGTGCCAGCAAATTCAGAAATTTAACACTTCAACAGAGCGTTTGAGAAACTGCAGGAAAGAGCAGCCTAAGTCTGCCAGATCTGAAAGGAGTGTCAAGTACCATCAYAGAACTCATTCCATATGCATTGCAGCCGAAGAATACATCCTCAACATGCAGAAGATTTTAGCAAAGTGAGAGGTGCAGGAGGGGAAGAAAGAGAGGGAAAAAAAACCCTCAAAAAGAAGCTCTTGAAGCTTGTACATCTCTCAAAACCCAGCACATCCCCACCTGTCTGGAACAGGACATACCCATATGGCCAGCTGTACTGCACGGCCCTTCACCACCATTTCCTTCTCTTTAAAATCAACACCTAAAGCGTAACAAGGGGAAGCTTGTCAGAAGAACCGTCCAATGCCCGCCCCCGCAGCCGCTTCCTGAATCCAGGCTCCCCAAGGGGACCCCAACAAGAACAATCCCAGCTCCGATTSATTCCCAACTCACCCACGGTGGGCTTCAGGCCCGGCTCAAAGGCGCCGTCCGCGAACCTCCGCAGGAGGCTGTGGGGAGACAAACAGCGGGCTCAGGCGGGCACTGCGAGCGGGTCCCCCAGCTCGGTGCCCGCGACAGCACCTGGATTTGCCCACAGCGCTGTCCCCGAGCAGCAGCAGCTTCAGCGTGAGRCCGGCGGGCTCCATCCCCCGCACTGCGCCGGACTGAATCGGGGCCCGGGGGCAGCTCCGGGTGCGGCTCGAAGCAGCGACCGCCAGGGCTGCGCGTCCGGAGGAAACCGCTCGCTTCTCCTCCCGGCCCCGGCAGCTGACGGGAGCTGCACGTCCGGAGGAAACCGCTCGCTTCTCCTCCCGGCCCCGGCAGCTGACGGGAGCTGAGCGTCCGGAGCAAACCGCTCGCTCCTCGCCGCGGCCCGGCCCCGGCAGTTGACGCGGCCCCGCCTATCGGGCGGTGGCCGGGGCCGGGCGGGGCGGGAGCGGGCCCGGCTGGAGCCGCAGCCGCAGCGCCGAGGGGCTCCCGGCTGGCGGCGGCTGGGCCATGGCCGATTACCAGATCTCGGTGGAGGAGCTGAACGACCTCCTGGCTAATGGCAGYGGCCTCTACAGCCTGCCCAGCGCGCACAGCAACGAGGTGGTGCCGCGCATCCACGTGGGGAACGCGTGAGTGCGCCGGAGCGGAGCGGGGCCGGGCCGGGCCGGGCGGGCGTGAGGAGAAGGGGGCCGGGCCGGGCCGGGCCGGGCGGGCGGAGGTTGGGCCCGGCCCTGAGGCGAAGTTTGGGCTGGGCCTTGAAGCGAAGTTTGGGTTGGGCCCGCGGGCGGAGGTTGGGCTGAGCCGTGAGGCGGAGGTTGGGCTGGGCCGTGAGGTGAAGTTTGGGCCGGACCCTGAGGTGAAGTTTAGGCTGGGCCTTGAGGCGGAGGTTGGGCCCGGCCCTGAGGCTCAGCGCGGTCACAGAGCAGCTCTTGAAGGGCGTTTCCAGCCTCCTTCAGGCTGCAGGGTGGGATCCGTTGGATCTCTGCCGGCCCTGTGGGGTTTGTTCTTTGCACCATTCTAATCCTGTACTGCTGATTCTCGTTCCCCTTTTTTGTCCATATTTTTCCACTTTTGCCCAGTGAAATTGGGATTTTTTTGTTTTGTTTTGTCCTTTTTGGTTTTGTTTGTTTGTTTTTTTTTGGTTTTGGCTTTTTTTTGTTTGTTTGTTTTGTTTTTTTTTTGTTTTTATTTTTTTTTAATATATGTGTAGTATACTGGATCCCGGTTGTTGTTTTAAGCTTCTACCTCTTAAAGAAACAGAAGTCAAGATCATAGGCTGTCATTAACTTTCTCCTCAGCCAAACCAAATTTTGTTACTGCCGGTTTATGCAGGACATGCACGTCTAGAGATGGGACTAAACTCATTCTCTCAGTAGCCAGTCTGGTGGTCTGACAGCCACCATCTCTTTCATTTTTGTGGCAGTCACCTGGAAGAAATGAAGTAATAGGTGATTTGTGCAGTAAATAATTTAAAAAAATAACTTTGAAGGTAATAAGCTACTACAGAGTAGTTTTCATTGTTCAATAATTTATTTTAGAGTATGGGCTTTAATATGTTCAGATGGAAGAGTGCCTAGGAACAGATAATGCATGTATAAGTTGCACAGTGGAAAATCTCTGGCTAATGGAATGCTTTACCGTTGAGAAGAACTTTTTATGTCATAACTGACAAAAAGTATCAAGAAGCACCACTGCAGTTTGTAGCGTTAGAAAAGTTCAACTGCTGGTTGGACAAGAAAGCAACGTGCAGTTGTATTTTCAGTATTTTTTAAAGAAGGCTGAAAAATTGTGGAGGACAGTTAGAAGTAAGCAATAACTTTGTGGCTGAAAAAGCTATTTCACAGTCTGTTTAATTTGTCAAGACTTGTGAGGCAGTAATATCTTTGAAGCATCCACAGAGTGTTAAGATAATGCTGAGGTCTAGTTGAACAGATGGATGTCCATTAAGATTTGATCATTACATGGTGAACTTTGATATTCTCAAACTGAAAATGGTTCTAATTCTTAAGAGGATATTTTRTATCAAGTGGAGTTGTGGTATATACTGAATTATGAATAGTATTTGCCATATTAGTCATTCTGAAAGAATATGAATCCATTTTCACATCTTTTAAAGCTTCATGTCCCCCTTTTCACTCCTGTTGTGTAAAGAGAAGGCTGAAGAGTAACCCAGTTTTCTGACTTGACTTCTCCTGTGAACTACTAGGGAAGTAAACATCCTTTGCATTCCATTTCCCAGGCACTGTGCATGTGTGAATCCAACATTGTGCAAGACATCAATAAAGATTTTCCTACTGGGTGCAAATAAGCCACAGCTTGCTTTGGGAAGTGGTTTTGCAGTTCATCAGCCTGTCTTGTTCCTCTCCAGCRTCTACACAGAGCTTGGCACATGTTTCAGATTAGAAGATAGCTTGCTCCAGGGCAGTGCRTTTGATGGTGCTTGTGTTTTATCTGAGTTTTGGTCTTGCTGAATCTCAGGGGAGGCAGGTGAATCAATACTTTGTTCTTAATGTGCTTGAAGTGCACATGTGTTGTATGGTGCATGGAGGCCATTCTCCAAAAATTAATATTAAATTAATATTAAATTAAGTGACTGTAGGGGAAGTGTTGGTAAGGAAAGAATTTTGCATGCACAGTACAGTGCAATTTAAATGGGTTATTAGGCTGGCATTTTTTGCCCTTAAAGACTTGGTTTATTTGCTTTTCATTCCATATGCCAATAGTTCATATCCTCATGTGTCCTTAATTGCTGATGAATGGTTCTCCAAAACCTGTGTTTTGTGGCTGRTAAAATTATTCATCTGTGTTCAAAAGAAACACTTCTTACTAGTGTTACTCACAGGACGAGGGGCTCTAAATCTTCCATATTGAGAATGAACAAGACTCTTATGATATTTTTTCAAGAACCAGATGAAGCTGATGTTATCTCTCTGCTATTTGAAGGAGCTAGCATTTCGACATCAAACATGATGCAGCTGGAATGAAATGCTAAAGATGAGAGAGATCCRAGGACTGTTTGGAAAGGGATAAACAAATGGCATACAAATACTCTCTTTTTCACCTCTAGCTGTGTAAGAAAATCATCTGTCAAATCTGCAGAAATCATTCGCTGGGAATGAGTTTGCCTCCAGGGAAGCCAGTATGTTGCCAGATTCAACCATGATTTCAGGATGGGAGTTCCTATTGATCCYAAACACTGTCAGATATATGCTGATYTATATAATATTACTTAAATCATATATTCACTCTGCTAAACAAAGGAACTCACCACTGAATTAACACTTTTTGGTTTGGCCTTGCTCTGTAGGATTTTTGTGTTGAAAGCAGAATTCTCCAGACACTGAAACCTCTCCCCTGGCACAGATGATGTCCTGCCAGATGGAAAATCTGTCAGCATTTGTTTGGGTAATGAAGTCTTACAAATATTTGGTTCATTGCCATAGTTGCTTGGCACAGACAGCAGGAAATGTAGAAGCTTCAGTCATGCATAAGTCTTCATCTGCTTGCACTACAATGTAAGGGGTGAGCAGTCATTGGGAAGAAAGGAATTCTCAAGATGTTTATGGCCTTGAATTACATCAAGACTGTGAGGGAGTGGACTCAGAGATTCATATAGATGTAAACCGACTAATCTGGGTGTTTGTTTTAAATTTTTAAAATACCTGAGCATCCAGCCAAAAGCCCTGAATGCATTGCCATCTCACTTGTCCAAAATGATACTGCACAAATGCTTATCTAGAGCTCAGCTGTATTTGCAATTTAGGAGTTGCGCTGTAGGGAGTTTTTCAGAATTTTTTCTGCTTCCATATCCAGTTAGACRCTGAAAGCTGTTTTAAAAAACAGTCTCTCTAGGCTACCTCTTTCCACAAAGTGTGCAGGAGCTGAGTTGTCCTTCAGCTAAAGTCTTCTGTCACATTCTGCTAATGTTGACCAGTGGGGCTTAGATTTTACTAGAAGATCACATAGTGTGATGAAACATATGGGTTTTTCTTCTTCCCAAGAAAGTGAGGCAAATATTGCGACTGACATATGGAAATAATCCAACTCAGAATGCGAAGTAGTGGGTTTATGGCAAAAAGGAGTCAATGCTCTCCTCTTATTATTTAATGGTTTCCTCCTCTTACTGTAGACTGCATTTCAGGGCACAAGTGGAGATTTGTGTATGATCAGTTGTGGTACTGAGCAGATGGATTGTTTGCCATTGTACAACCTGSAGCTTTTATCAAAGCTTATGGCATTATTACTGGATCTGTGTCCAGTAATGAATTGTCATCATCAAGCCAGCCTGAAAGGCATGATTGTTATGGAGCATGCAGCTCAATTATTCCCTAATAGGTTAGGTAGCTCTTTTTGCCACCTAAAGATGAAAGCTGGTGGTTTTTATTGGAAACACTTTAGCATCTTGAACATCGCTCATCTGGATTCTTCTACATTCAGATATTGATTTCAGCTGAGACACTGAAAATTGTAACACTTGTGATGAAAATACTCAATCTCAGAGACTGAATTATATCTCTGTCTTGCTGGCCTCTGACAGATCTTTCCATGACTTCAAAGGTGTTGAGTAGCACAGGGCATAGGACTACACTTCTTAGTAGCCCTCAGATGAGTCTTTTGAAGATGTAGGAGCATTTACTCAGTTATTTTCTTCCTGTGGCCTGAGAAGGAGCCAGTGCTGTTTGACAGTGCTTAAAATTGCTCCCTGAAATGTCCATTTGTCTGGACTGTCTGCTGAAGTAGCAGTTACTGCTTATCAAGTTCTGCAACACTGGTACCTGACAGTAGAGGCTTTCTGTAACTGGTTTTTAAGTTATCTTTTGTTACAGTTAATCTTAGAAGTTTATGTGTTACGATCTCCAGTATTTTCCTACTTTGGTCAGAATTTTATGTTCAGAAAGTTACAGTTTTGTTGCTGTAGTAGGATGTAGCAGATTCACTTCCATGTGTGCTTTCTTCAGTCCTCAGCCAAAAAAGGAGCGTTCTCTCATGCACAAATAGTGACCATGGCTTTAAATATTTTTGTGAATTTATAATCTGTAGTTAATTCACTTTTGGGCACAGAATATTTGACATCTATTAACAGAAAAAAAAGTCAAAGGGCTTGGTTATCAGTACCTTCTGGGAACATCATAAATACTGAGATGATTCACCAAATTCTAATCATTTTCTTGACACTTTTTGTCACACAGGTTCATAGCCAAGAACATTATGAGGCTGCAGCGTCTGGGRATAACCCATGTTCTGAATGCAGCAGAGGGGAAATCATTCATGCATGTGAACACTAATGCAGAGTTCTATGAAGGCTCAGGCATCAGATACCATGGCATTAAAGCTAACGATACACAAGAATTTAACCTCAGTCGCTATTTTGAGGAGGCAGCTGATTTTATTGAGAAAGCACTTGCCCAGAAGGATGGTAAGGCAAACTGAAATATCTTTCTACCGTGTTTTCTGTGTGCTGCATATGTTTGTTAGCAATTTGCTGTTTAAGATGTTTCTTTGCTCATGTTATCAACAGAACAACCAAGTGAAAATTTCAGATAAAGGCCCTGAATCAAAGACACAAGAATACACAATAAGACAGCTTAGTTTTCTGTTTTTACATGTAGATCTTCAGTATATGGCAAAGGGAAATCTGTCACTGTAGGGGTGACTTTGAAGTGGGAAACAGCTCCTTTATCTTACAATAAAGTCTTTCTGGGAAGATAGGTTTTTATTTTTCCTTAGAAGTGTTAAATCACATTAAAACTTTTTGTAAAGGAATTTCAGGGTCTAAAGTTGTTTTAGGACATTAGAAATTGCAATTCAAATGCAGAAGTGATACAAGTAGTGCAAGTACTGAAGAGTAGTCACATAATCTGTTACATGGGTTTTTTTCCCAAATGCACAGTAAGAATAGAGACTGTCACTTGCAGTTTTTATTACATTAAGTCATTTCATTGTTTTATGTGTTGATTGCCTCTTTATTTCCTAGGATTGCAGGAAAGCTGAAGGTTATATTTGCAATGTTGTTTATCACCATATTTCTTTGTGTGTTCTCTCAGAGCAGAAATCTTAGGACACAGTGCAGTGGGACAGATGGTGTTTGTGTTGTCTGACTATTTCAACATAGTCAGTCATATTTTCAACATTTCTACAAATSCTTAATTTCTTTTCTTGCTTCGTGACTGAGCATTAAATASGAGGARTGAGAACCCCCACAATTYTAGAARTTTGTTYTCTGAAATGGKCAAAGGGCTGCTGGAGCTGTGAYGTGGGCTTTWATAGAGGGAARTAAATTTTACATCCAGTTTGGTGGAGTATGAAAAATTCTAAAAATTTCAATGCAGMTCTTGCATTTAGCATTGTGACTCACTGAAACAGGCTGCAGGAGGAAGGAAAGGTTTGCTGGGCCATGGMTGGACCTGCTCGGTTTGATCTAAATAGTTGCAGAGTCAATCTGAATTTACATAGTTGTTCTGTTTGCTGATTCTTTCAGTTTTGGTAGTTGTCTGCCACACCCACCACTGCTTTCTCAACGGTACCRGGCAAAGAGGAACTTTGTAGCTGGGTGATGTTGGAGCCAATTTTAAGATTAACTGGCTGCTGCAAATGGAAATGTAGAGTAAGAAGAGTGAAGAGAAGAGGGATATGATAGCATTCTCCCTCAATTTCATTTTAGTGTTGTCTTGCATGAAGTTCTGGAATGCAGTCCTTAAGACACTGCGTTTCACAGAGAAAGGCTAGGAACCTTTTTGCTTCTTAACTATTTTCAAAAAAGTCTATATTCTTCCATGTATCTCATCAAGAATCTCTATTTTTTCCCAATTTATTACTACAGGCACTTAAATGTTGAGAATTAATTGTTTTAGCTCTTTTCACCATGGCAGTGATTTGCCTTGAGCTGAGAAGCTTTTGCTGTTTAARGCAAATGTGATAACAGGATTTCTGTTGGTGTGATTCAAAGCAAGTTGTGGTTATTTACTCTGGGGAATTTGGGAAGGGGAAAATTTTTGTGTCTGGAAAAGCAGATCAAAGAGGAAGCAGCTGAGAAACAATAAAATCAGGTTAGATTTCTCAAAGGGAGCAGGGGCCTGCTTTTTGATTTTGGATACCTAGCTGTAGGATTTACCCACATGGTAAATGTGGGTAAATACCAGGTACCCACCAAGCCATGCTATCATGTCCCCTCCTCAGCTGGACAGGGGGAGAAAAATACAACAAAAGGCTCCTTTGGTCTTCTGTCCAAGGTAAGGACAGGGAGATCACTCAACAATTACCATCACAGGCAAAACAGACTCAGCCTGGGGAAGTTAATTTCATTTAATACTAAAATCAGAGTAGGATAATGAGCAACAAAACCAAACCTTAAAAGATCTTCCCTCTACCCCTCCTTTCTTTCCATGTTTACCTTCATTGCCTGTTTTCTCTCCCTCCTCATCCCAAGCAGCACAAGGGGACAGRGWATGGGGATTGCWGGCAGTTCATCTCATGTCTTTGCCACTCTGCCCTCGTCATTCTCTTCCCCTGCTCMCATCTCACCCACAAGAGACATCCAACAACTTCTCCAATGTGAGGCCTTCCCAGAGGCTGCAGTTTTGCATTAACTGCTCCAGTGTGGGTCCCTTCTTCCATGGGGGACAGTCCTCCAGGAACAGGTTGCTTCAGTGCAGGTGTTGYACAGTTCACCAGTCCTGCCTGAAAATCCATTCCACAATGTGTTCCTCTGTCCATGGAGCCACAGGTCCTGTCAGGAGCCTGCTCCAGTGCAAGTTTTCCATGGGGTCACAGCATCCTTTGGGCATATCCCCCTGGCTCTGGCACTGGCATGGGGTCCCCATGGGCTGTAGTGGATATCTGCTCCACTGTGGACCTACATGGGTTGCAGGGGGACAGCCTGTCTCACCATGGTCTACCCCGCAGGCTGCAGGGGAATCTTCTCTGCAGTGCCTGAAATACCTTTTCCTTTTCTGTCTTCACTGACCGGGGTGTCTGCAGAATTTTTTTCACATATTCTCACTCCTGTCATTCACCTGCTGTTGTAAAGCAGTTTTTTTCCGTGTGTTAAATACGTTACCCCAGAGGTGCTACCACTGTCASTGTTGGGTTTGGCTTTGGCAGGACCATCTTGGGTCCAGCTGGCTCTGGCYCTTTTGAACATAGGGGAAGCCTTTGGCTCCTTCTCACAGAAGGTACCCCCGTGTAGCCCCCACCACCACCAAAATGTTGCCATGCAAGCTCAATACAACCCACCTAATATGTAGAACAAGATCCCTAATCAGTTAGTTGGAAGCATTTTACTGGTGCTGACAAACAACATGATTAGGATTTCTGGCTCTGCTCTCTGCACAGTTGGCAGCTTCATTTACTGGAATGTTGATGTGACTTCAGAAATATCCAGAGAAGCAGCCAGGTATGATGCAGCTGTGCACCAAAAAAGCTGGATGTCTGTGAAGAGATGCAGTACATGGCAAAGAGCATATCTGTTTCCAGTGTATTTTAAATTTCATTCGGGCGCCATATGTCGCTGTTGGCCAGACAGCCGACACAAAATATCAGACACAAAGACACACATATACACACACAAAAAGTAACCCCTTTATTCTGGGACAGGCYTCTTTTATCYACTTTAGYAACCAGTGCATACATTTGTGTCACACATACATTGGTCAGTGAGGCTGTCACTTTCTACTCAACAGCATAGGATTGGTTTGCAAAAGCTACAGTATTAGTAATGTTTATAATGTTTRTAAGCCACCTGCATTATCAATTCTACATTCCAATCTTCTTTTTCTCAAGACAGCCAAGGATGTGGYGTTTTATTCCCATGYAGGCTGTTAACACTCCCTACAAATTTCATTTATTTTTGCTCTTTGGTTCCGGTCATCTTTAGGGGCAAAGCTTATCTAAACCACAAAAGACTGGAGAAGTGCAGTAAACAGACATAGTTTACATCTTGTGATAAAGTAGCAAATACGTTTTAGTGAGATTGTTTGATATGCAATGTATTTTTTTGTTGTTGTTGTTTTGTGTTATCCTTGGTAACAGCCTGTGTAGCTACTAACAGTGACAGCACCTTGCTTTCAGCATTTGGAACTCACAGTCCTTAAGCTGCCAAAGGACTAATATCACTACACTTTATATCCCAGCTATTTCATRCTGCTTTTCAAACCTCTATTCCCCTCTAACCCCCAGTGTGGCCTGTCTCCCYTGCAGGACAGGTGTTTGTGCACTGCCGGGAGGGTTACAGCCGCTCCCCCACGCTGGTCATCGCCTACCTCATGCTGCGGCAGAACATGGATGTCAAAACCGCCCTGTGCACGGTGCGGCAGAAACGGGAGATCGGCCCCAACGACGGCTTCCTCCGGCAGCTGTGCCAGCTCAATGAGAGATTGGTGAAGGAGGGCAAACTCAAGCCCTAGAACAGAGCACCGCCGTGTTTTTTTATGTCTCTCAATCCTTTAGAAGATGTCTTAAAATGCTTTAGAGACCCAACTTTCAACCATCGAGCTGAAGYGAGACGGAATTCCTGCTTGTCTAGTAAAAGTCTCTTGAACTCTGTGACTGTCTTTCAGGATGGTACAAAATTGAGTCACTGTTTGGAGCTGTTGCAATAAAGGGATGTTTGTAGAGGGATGAGGSATAACTCCAGTGATAGCAGCTGTCYTCACATGTATTKCARAGCCCCTGCAAACYCCATAGCATATGTGGTTTGCATTGACATTGAATGTGATTCACTTGAGCTTTGTCTTTAATSTCACCAGAGCACCAGTTTCTGAAAGCCCCAACACATCTCTTCAGTCACTCTTAATAGGAGCACTGTAATTTTTAAAGCTTCTTTTTCATGCACATGGGTGCCTGAAGTTTGAATGTAGGAGCTTCAAGGAAGGGRGAAGCATATGTACAAATGCACAGATGCACTCACTTGGGAAATGAGGTGCATGCAGTGTTTTGTGTGGATTTATGCAATACACAATGTGTGATAGGAAAGCCATGCAGAGCCCGTTCTTGATGCACACTGTGTTTCCAAAATAGTTGTATCTTGCTGTTACTATTGACTTGAAATAGTCTGCTATTAAATGCTCTTTTTATTTCAAAATCATCACTAGAAAAAAATGTCAAGAGCAAATGCTGAGGGAAAAACTTGAACAAGGAAGAAATAATATTTAGAAGTGCTTGTGATGGATGTATAATTAAGTCCTAAGCATCTGAATATAATGGCTTCCAAAGCTTTTATGGAATTATAGTATCKTTCTCTCTTCTTTATTATCACTGTTTAGTAACACAGAATGGAATGACCTCATGTACAGATTGTTTCTAGGAGGGCAGCACAGGTGTGCTTACAAAGCACTTTGCAGGAGAACACACTTGACTTTTGGATTGCTTGCATGGTATCATGAAATAGAAATGAGCATTGTAATGTACCATGTTGTAYAGGAAATATTTACTTTCTATTAAAATAAATGATGCCTTGATTCTGTTTGCCATGCAGATGAAATGAGTCATTGCATTGTTGGGAGAGAGAGATTTGTTTGCACTCTGCCTAACTTAKTGTGTAAATATGTACCTGTGAGTTACAGCAGTGTATTAATGCAAATGATCCCCACTGCTAACTCAGAATTGTTGATTGAAATGACAGAGAATAGGTGACTGTGTTCCATTCTTACCTGTGCTTTAATGGAGTTCTAGAATGAAAAATCTTAACACTTATTTTAAACAGCAACACTGCATTTTAGTGACACATGTAATCCCAGATCTAGTTTTGCCTGCTCAGTTTAGTAACCAAAAATTACAAAGGACATGGATGCCTTATTTACTTCTGTTTTTGGGGTTGTGTGTTTTGGAGGTGTGGAAGTGKCAGGGGAAGTTCTGTAGAGCAAGGTAACTTCCTTGAAGTTACACTTCAGAGGTGATTATTCAGCCTGAGCACCAGTCTTAACTGTTTTTCCTTCCACAGGATGGAGCTGCCAAATCRAGGAGCCTTTTCTGTGTTGTGTCCTTCCAAGTGACACTTGAACACTGCACAGTGTTTGCTGTCAGATCTCTGCAGTCAGTATTCAGTGCTTGCTTTGAGTCAGGATGGTTCAGTAATAATAGCAAAGCAAAAAAAAAATAGCAGTAGTCAATCCCAGCAGTCAATTACACACCTGTTTGCTTCCTCCYGTTAATCCATTTAATCAGGAGTAAATTAATTGCTTTTTCAAAATTCCTTGTTACTAATTTCATGTTGTTAGAAGTAGGAGAAGAAAGAAAGAGTAGGCTTTAGAAATAAGAATGCTGGCCTTTTCTACAATACTGACTTTTCATACTGAAATCTGATTTAGGAATTACCCTTTTAAAATTTTTACAATATGCGTAGATTTTTTTTTTGTCTTGCCTCACACCTATTTGCACTGCAAGGAAAAAAAGGGAAATTCATGTGGATGCACTTCATCTTTCACCTGTTACTTGGAACTCAAGATTTCAGTCCATTAAAAAGCTAAGAAACCATTAGGCATTAGAACTTTGTTGCTCTTGGGTAGATTCTAAGGCTRGTGTTTGTCAGATTGGAACCAGAATGGTTCCTTAAAATTGAGTCTGTTTACCTCATGGCTATGTTTTTGTAGTTGTCAGTATCAAAATACTGAAAATCAAAACAGAGGGGAATGTGTTCTTACATTCCAAATAATCTTTTACTCATGGGACACTGATCACTTTATTGGTAACTGTGGCCCATTTGTCTCAGTGTAAAAAAACTGAGTTAGGAAATGTTTTGTAACAGAGGGTGGAGAGGCGTAAGACATTGTTATAGATTGGTTTCGACAGTAATTGTGATTGGTGATATGAGTGAGGTGAGAGTTAATCTTCATAAAAGGCCTTGGAGATGAAAAGCACTGTGTAACAATAATGCATGCTCTCTTGTGTTGAAAAACAAATTTGTGTCAAATACATCCTCCTCGGTGAAGAACAATGGCAGAAAGAGTATTAGCAATGTTTATTTTCATCATTTATATACTTTCMTTGAGCTGCCTTCTGTTGTCCAGATCTAATTAAATCTCTGATGCCAGATATAGAAGCAGGAMTTTTTACCTTCTTTTATTTTTACATTAGGTCTGCTAGTTTATTATGTTTTTAGCACAGAGAGACTATCTAGTGGAATCTTTCCTAGTTTTGCACAGAGGTTTCTTCTAAAATTCTGAGCTTCACCAATGAGTAAAACAAGAAACAGAAAAAGCCTGAGACGTGTCTTTTAAGGATTTTCTGGTGAAAATTAGTGTCCTATTAAATTCTTCTGCAAATAAATCCTGGAAATAATCAAGTGTTGGTTGCGTGTTTGAATTCTGGTTCCTGGATGCCGATGTCGCTGGCTCTCTGACTCACCAGATGGAGCTGTAGGCTTGTTCTTCCCTGGAGAGTCACCACTGAATCCCTGAAAATGCTGTTGTGTGAATCCAGTGTGTTCTTATCCCTGGAAAGGCAAGCCACCAGAAGGGTTTATCAGCCTCTGGTAGGAGAACACTCAGAACCCATTTGTTTTGGCTGCTTGCAGATCACAGCATTCAGACTGTTCTATTCACACTGCAATATCTGACATGGCAAAATTCTTATGAGACAGCTAAAAACTGAAGGGGAAAGGCTGCATAATGGAAAAAAAAACTCCTGTTTGGGAAGCAAAGTTCTTGGTCATGTCAAAACTGAATTCTTGGGTGGTGTGTGAAGTATGAGCCATTGTCCCTGATGCTCAAATTGCACTTTTACAACTTGGGGCTTGAACAGAACCCCTTTGGCCCAGGTGTGGRCAGAGTGAAGCTGGAAATGACTGAACCAATTTCAGAAACAGCTTTAGATGAGTCTGCCTTCGTTGCTGTGTTGCAATGCAGGCATTTCAGGGCAAGTGCTTGAGTTCAGAAAGTAGCAGCAATGGGCTCAGACCGAGTTTAACTCCTTGTACCTCCTCCCCTCGTGTCTGATTCCCTCTTGGAGTAGTGTCCTGCTTTTGGCTGGGACAGAGTTAATTGTATTCCCAGTGTCTGCTGTGGGGTTTGGGTTTGTGCTGATGATCCTACAGAGATGTTGGTGTCACTGCTGAGCAGGGGCTGACACTGAGCCAGSGCCTTTCTGCTTCTTGTAGGGCCACACTGGGGAGGGGCTGGGGGGAAATGGTGGGACAGCCACTGAGACAGCCTGATCCCAAGGCACCAAATGGATATCCCAGACCATTTGGTGTCATGTTCAGGATATAAACTGSRGAGTGCTGGTGTTGGTGTTCCCAAGGAACAGTCACACGTGGTGTGCTCTGCTCCCTGGAGCTGACTGAACACTCCTGCCTGCCCATGGGACTCAGGGAAATTCATTCCTTTGCTTTCCTTGCATGCCTGGGTTGGCTTTTCCTATTAAAATGTCCATTTTTCAACCCATGAGCTTTTCCCCTTCAGATCCTCTCCCCGATCCTGCTTGGAGGGCAGTGAGTGAGCGAGCGGCTGCGTGGGTTTGGCTGCTGGCTGTGGGCAAACCACAACACGTGACTGAGGATGGTATTTTTCAGCTCAGAAAATAGCATTTCAGTTCTGAATATCCACTATCAGTCCCACCCTGCTAGGTGAGGGCTCATTCTGAGAACATACTATCCATGATAATGCTTTTCTTTTTTTCCTGGGTTTCATTAACAGTACAAAAATCAGTTTTTTGTGGGGGCCTGCAACACTGTGCCTGCTTTGCTGCAAAAAGGACTGTGAGCAGGCAAACAGCTACAGGATGTGAAAGAATGGTTTTGTAGTTAAGGAATCTGAATGTTTGTGAGATTTGGGTTCTTTCCTGGCTCTGTTAGGCTGCCCTCCTGCCTTACGGGCAAGTTTTAAGCCATAGGCTAAATATAGCTTCTGATTTTTGCATTCAGAATTTTTTTTGGTATCATTTCTCCCAGTGGAGATATAATAAATAATAACAGATACAGATAAATATTAAGACAGTTAATATAGGGGATTGTTTATGTACTTGAGAGAAGCTACATCAAGAAGATTTGTATGTTTTATGTGACAGTTGATTGCTCTAAATTATATTCTTTCTAGTAGGCCTGCACTGACAGTGATAGCTTTTGGAAATATTCTTTAGGCAGGTATTACATGCAAAGAAATAGACAGAAACTGAGTTTTGGTGGATACATGCAATTCTGAAGGCATTTAAACAGGGGAGTAAATAGTGCAATGGTTCAGTGATTACCAGCACTCAGCTTTGTTCTGCTTTTCAGCTGTACTCCATGGTGCCACCATGTCAATACCCACACATGGCACTATTCCTACCTGACAAAAATMATACCAAAATCTTTGTTTAGTTCCTGGGCCTTCAGGACTTCAAGTCCTTCWCAACTTGTTCTGTTTAGCTCGAAGCCAAAAATAGATTTACTTGCAAGTAAGCAAAGTTATGCTTAGAAGAACATTTGCAACAGCTGAGAGTTTGGGTTTCCTGTATTTGTGAGACCATTATTGACTGCTTTGGGAGAAGGAGAAGGTTTGTAATAAAAGCTAATCAGTGCACTGATGATGATGATGATGGTTATAGAGAAAAAATAATCAGCACATTGGAGGCAAATTATTTGACAATAGTCTGTGTTAAAGAATGTATTAAGAAGATATCCTGACTGGTTGAGGAGAAAATAGAAAGAAAATAGTGTGTTGTATTCCTTCATGAAAACAGAACAATTTCTGAGCTGGGAAGATGCCTGAGACATGGGCAGGAGGAAAGGAGAAAGGGGAASTGGCAGTGAGGGCACTCTGCTGTGTGAAAGGCAATGCATGATCTCTTTTAGACATTCTTTGGAAAGGAGAGCACTTCTGAGAGCGCTGATTCCTAATTTTGGGCTGAGCAAAAGCCAGGAAGGAAAGCACCTTACAGGGTATTTCAGATTCCCAGTTTTAGGGAAGGACCACTGCAGAGGGCAGATGTGCAAAAGTTCAAATGTCCTCAGGTCATTGCTGCTGCATGAGGGCACCCCAAGGGACAGCACACCTGCATGTCAGATTTGGGGACACCTTTTCTTACCCCATCAGGGGAATTGTCACAATGGCATGCAAGCTGTCCTGAGTCTTTCAGCAATAGAGGAAAGTCAGATTGGATCACTTTTCAGTCTCTTCTGCAGGAAATTAATTTCATGGGAAAGTGTGTGACAAACGTGGCAGTAGTGCACACAGTGTCCCTGTTCTGCTTTCACAGCAAACATTTTCAGAACAGTGGCTGTGATGGGCTCAGTGTGGTATCCAACCCTCCTAAAGGCTGAGATCCTTTCTGATTCATGGATTTTGCAAATCCCTKGAAAGTGTATGTGGTCCTGAGACACAGAAATGAGGATATTATCACCACTATCATCTCATTTTTGCAAGGAAGAATGCCATAGTGAGATTTTAAAACATGATGCGTGAATAYATCTCAGGCATGGATGCTCTAAAATCATCCAATTCTCTCTTTTTGCTGGTTATATCAYGACTGGAAATCAGCCTGGCCATGTTCTTGTGTTTAAAACAAGGAAATTTTCTGTATTCAACCCTTCCACAGAATGTCAGCAGCAGTAGCAACATGCAATGAATTTAAAAAAATACAAACCTCTGTTAGGATTTTTTTTCCCAAGTGTTAAAAAGAGCACAGCAAAAAGTATGATGTACAACATCCTGGCTGCTGAACCTAAAATGATATATTTCAAATAAATATTTTTAAGGAAAAGTAAACACAACAACTTCTCATATAGAGAAGAAGCTCTTCCCTGTTTCTTCCACTATATTTGTGAAACAAAATGTAGGGCCCCTTGTTTTGGAAAGGGAAAGGAAAAGCTACCCTAACCCTAATCATTTCCCTGCAGAGACTGAAAAGCAGTTTCTAGATTTATTTTATACAGTGAGCAGAGGGAAGAGGAATAATAAGAGCAAAAGTAAAAAGTATGAAAAACCTTTGGAAAAGACAAAGTTTCAAACATGGATGGAGGCAGAAACAGGTTTTAATTATACCATTGTTAGAAAAAAACTGCAGAAAGACTCATCAGGTTGCAATTCATCTTAGTCTTGTCTATCACCATTTGTTACCAGGCTCAAAAATGAAGTGAATATGAGAAGCTTTTTGCATAAAAGTTGTAAAATATTGTCACCAGCCCACCCCCACACACCCATTTTATTTCACCCTGACAAAAGCTGAGATGAATGAGTTGTTGTCTGGCCCTTCCCACTTTGTATAGTCATTGGCTGGCTTGGTTCTAAAAAGGATTTTAAAAAGGGGAATAATGTGCCTTTGCCTGGGATCTGAGGCTGTCAGGGTGCTGAAAAGCTGAGCTGTGAGCTGCCACCATGCAGATCTCCTGGGCTGTGTGCACCGTCTGCATCGTGGCACAAATCGCCTTCCAGTCGGCAAAAGGGTGGCAAGTGTTTAAAAATGATGCCACAGAAATCATCCCTGAGATCACTGAGAACACAGAAACGCCCGTGGAGCAAACTTTCAGCGACAACAACACAATGAACCAGGCGAAACATGGAGGAAGACACATACAACAAGCTCCGGAGCCTAACGGTAAGAAAAATCACATTATTGCTGCTTTGGACTGTAGCAGAGAATTTGTAAAGGAATGCTTGTTACCATAAATTAAATTTAAAGTTTATTAACACTTTTAGGTGTGGCCCAGCTGCTTCAAGTGGTAGGGATTTACATCTACTGCTGAAGAAGTAAGAATATAAACATTTGGAAGAATATATTGGAATTTACTGGTGCAAACATCAGTGCTGCTCTCTGCAGACACCTCCAATACATAAAACCTGAAGTAGTCATTACTTAAAGTTTTTCTGTGTTTTGTGCTTCTGAGCATTGTGAGGAAATACTGCAAGTTATTTTTCTCTCTTTAATATTCAGATGGAGGAATGGGTTGACTATAAGAGAATTTCTTGATGTTTGGGAACATCCACAGCAGTTGTGGCTGAGGTCACACATCAGAAATGGCACRTGGAGTTTGTGCTCAGCTGGGTGAGAGCAGTGGCTGCTCACTGCTCTTGGCTGACAGACACAACTCCAGAGTCCAGCAGCCAAAAATGCTCCAAAATGCTGTTGGCACTGCACTTGGCCAAATCTCTGACCTCAGCAGTGATGCAAAACACCAGGAGAGGCAGAGGAGGGAAAGCTAACACCAAACAGAGGAGGGAAAGCTAACACCAAACAGAGAAATTTTTTTAAAAAAAAGTGAAAACAGGGCAAGCTTGATCCTCCAGACACACAGCATGAAGCAGAGAGCAACACAGCAGCAGATAAAACATTGAGTTCCCACTGTTGTGCAGTGCAGATCGTACCCAGCCTTATTTTTCTGGGGGCACCTGCAAGGCAATTATGAATTTCTGCTGCAGCTGCCAGTTAAGGCATTGAAAACCATAGGGTTAACAATATTTTAAAAGAAAAAYAAATTTTTAAAAGAAGAAAAAATAACTCATGCTTTTGAGTGTGACCTTGAAGTGTTTTTAAATTCCTGCTTCTCCCAGGCAGCCCCACCAAGCACCAGCTCAGAGCAGCTGGGTTTTCTTGTCACATCTCAATATTTTCATTTTTTAGCCTCTCACTGCTCTGCCTTGAGGTGATGGAGATCTGCCCCACTGATTTGTGCATRTTTTTTGAAATGGAAAGGACATTTATTTAAGAAGTCAAAGATTGAATGAGTTGTTTCAGATACACCTTGTCTTGCACGCTTATTTTGGCATCTGTAACATAAGGAATCAAAATTATGATCCAAAGTGGCCAGACCTTTCTGGAACAAACGAGGGTACACCAGACCATGAATGATTTTGCTCTGTGTTCAACCTGCACAGGACAGAACATAATGCACACAAAATWACCCTGTAGAGCTGAGGGAAGTGCCAGAGTATTTAACAGCATCTCCTGTGCATTATGGGGTACAAAACACTTTATTCAATGCAGTTTTTTTTTCCTTAGATGCTTAGGGAACTTGGGAGCATTAGGCTAAGTGCATGTGAAATTCAGTATTTTTGTCACAGTGAACATGGATTGTTTAATTTCATTAATCCAGCCCTCCAAACTTCTTTAAAAATTGAATTTTGCTAGCTGTACTTTGACTAATAGAAATCTGAGCTCTGAAAGTCCTGTTTCTGTATTTCACAGGAAACCCAGAAATTCAGATGTCTGTACAAATACTGTCCTGTCATTAATGGTTCAGGGTCAGAATTCTCTTTTGCTGAGCTGCAGAGGGAAACACTTTGTACACAGGGAGGAGAATGAACCTGACAGACACAGTGAACTCTGAAAGCTGACCTTTGAAGGCTTCCATCAGAGTTCCTGAGTTAAAATTGTCCTTTTGACTAAGAAAAGAATATTAACACATATTCATCTAGATGAAGTTATGTGATAAACACTTAAAAATCAAATATTACATCTTCCCAATAAATCAATTAACCAATAATGTAATTTGAGAGAAGAGACACTTTTGGGAAAAGTTATGTTCCTGCAAGTTTCAAAATACTTAACGTTTAAAAATCATGTATTTTCTAATGTTTAATTCACCTGTAGTTATCCATTGAGAAAAAGGAGAGGAAAAAGATCTGTAAGGTTCCTAACAACCCGAAGATGCCTCTCTCTGTCTGAAGGAAACTATTTGGGACATGTGGAATTACCACAGGGAGCAGTAAATTTGGCAAAGCTGGTGCCTGAATTGTGAGAATTTCTTAGTGCTGTGATTTCTCTCACCTGGAGCACATTATGCCAGCTAAAAATCACTTAAGGAACACTTTATTTTGTTGCRAAAGGGTTTAAATCTGGAATAAACATCTGAAAATAGAGTTAAACTAGAATAGTGGAAGCACGTGTTGCCTGCAGGTAAATGAAGACAGCAGGACACTGTCAAAACTCCCCATGGAGCAGCAACTGCTGCTGGGGCTGCTCCAGAAGTTCCATTTTCCACCCTGCACAACACAGACATTAAATATACCTAGTGAGTTTTATTTACTGACACAAAATGTACCTGGTGGGTTTTGTTCACCAACATTAAATGTACCTGGTGGGTTTTATTCACAGACACAAAATGTACCCGATGGGTTTTATTTACTGACACAAAATGTACCTGATGAGGTTTTATTTACTGACACAAAATGTACCTGGTGGGTTTTGTTCACAAACATTAAATGTACCTGGTGGGGTTTTATTTATTGACACAAAATGTACCTTGTGGGTTTTGTTCACAAACATTAAATGTACCTAGTGGGTTTTATTTACTGACACAAAATGTACCTGATGGGTTTTGTTCACCAACWTTAAATATACCTGGTGGGTTTTATTCACAGACATTAAATGTACCTGGTGGGTTTTAGTCACCAATTTGCCCGTTGTTATTCGAGGGTCTCGCAACYGGAGCAGCCAAACAGGAGCTGCACGAGTGAGTTTTTTGAGAGATTTCCCTTGAAAATCTGCCGTTCGACACACTCAGCTCTTACCTAGCTCAGAGAGACACCCAGAAACAGAAATTATTTCTCAGGGATGGCAGAGAAAGGGATCAGTGATGAATTGAGTGATTCTCAGGGATGGCAGAGAAATCAATCTGTGATTAATCGAGTGATTCTCRGGGATGGCAGAKATCAGTATTAATTTAGTGATTCTCGGGGATGGCAGATATCAGTGATATAAAT